CGTGGTGTGGCTGGCCGGGCTCTTTCCATGGGCTTTGGAAAGGAGAGGGCGGAATGTGCCTTGTAATGCAAAACGGGTTTTGGAGGAAAGCACAACCCCAGTGAGAGCGCTCGACGCTGGCCAGACACTCGTGGCAGCGAAGTGACAAAAGGATCGCAGCTCACTGTCCATCCTTTGTGTGTTCTGTGTGATCCCACGGTGAGTCCGAGCACCCGGAATGCCCAGGGGAAGGAGCTGTGTGTCCGTGCATGCAGCCCTGCCGGTCAGAGCAGTGCGAATACACGGTAAACCAGCCTGCAGCAGTTCTGGCTGTGATGAGGCACCTGCAGACCTGGCTCAGGAAGGGACAGTTCTGCTTTAGGAGCCAGAGGAGCCTCCCCGGGGAGGATGTTCTCTCCCTGTCCTATCCCCCTGTCCTTTGTGCCCCTAGCACATACAGATGGTAAAAGCTTTATTCTGCATGGTTATTGTGTATATGATCCTTCTTCTGATAGTGCAGCCTCAGCTTGCCGTAACCTCCAGTTCGAGTTTGCAGGGCTGTTGCTTGTCCCATGTTTTCATTTTCTGTCCCTGCAGGCACCTGTTCCTACTTAAACACAGTTATTGGTTCTTGTGACCTTATGTTGAGTATTCTTTTTTCCCAGTCCTCTGACATGATTCTGAATGTTCTCCTTTCTCTCCAGTGGGCTTGTGGACAGCCCAGCACCATCTACAAATGCCATAAGCATGTTAATGCAAACACAGACATGGAGCAGCCCTGGACTGCTGCTTTACTGGAGGCATTTCCTTGTTTTATGGTGTGCAAACAGCTCTGCTCCACTATTGCAGATGAGATGCCCTCAGATTGCAAAGTGCTGACCCTTGCAGTGTTTGCAGGCAGCTTTAGTGCCTGTGACACACCCCAAAGCAGGGTGCACAGGGCTTTGAAGGTGAAGTGAATCCTGGAATCAGAGTGTCCTGAGCTGGAAGGGACCCACAAGGATCATGGATTCCAATCCTAGCCCTGCACAGACACCCAACAGTCCCACCCTGTGCATCCCTGAGGGTGTTGCTGAACACTCAAGTTTGGAGTGGAGCTCATTTTCCCTGTGAGCAATTTCTAGAAACTCCCTCAGCATCTTGGCCAGGCAACATAGCACTGACTTCTGCACCCAAAAAACCTTAAACTTTCTCTTCTAGCAGGCTCAGAGAGGAGTTGGCAAGTTTCTCTGCCTTGCTCGTTGCTGCAAGCACAGGCCCTGTTAGTCCCAGACCGTGGGTGGCAGAAAAGGCCTATTACATATTACACAAGTGTACAAATGTCTGTACAAAGCCCCTCGATGTTCCTGTCCCCTCGTGGCCAGCTGTGGCCCCTAAGCTCTGAAATAATCAGAGCTGGTTCAGAGTCTGAGAGGAGAAGAGCTTTAAAAAACGAGCATTCTCTTTTTGTAGAGATGACACTCCCCATGTCCCCAACGAGCAGCTGGGAGAAGAAAAGGTTCTGCACATAATAGCAAATCTGACTTCTCTGATAAGAGAGACATTTCCAGGTAGGATTTGAGGGGATGAAAAGGGGAGAGGGGCATAGAGACTGATGGGAAGGGTTAACAGGGATGGAGAAATGACAGAATTGGGACAGGGAAGGGCACAGAAGGGACTTGTTTGGACCTCTCTCCCTGTGCCCCTGCAGCCCTGAGCTCCCCTGTGCCTCCTTGGCTCTGCCCACAGGTACCAAGGTCTATGCAGCCATGGGCAATCATGACTTCCACCCCAAGAATCAGTTTCCTGGGAAGGAGCACAGGATCTACACCCAAACAGCAGAGCTGTGGCGGCCCTGGCTGAGCGATGCCTCCCTTCCTCTCTTCAGAGCAGGTCTGGCACGTGTTTAGAGCATGCTGGGGATATGAGGAGGGGTAGGAGAATACCATGAACAATTTTCCTTGCTTCTCTGCTCAGAGCAGCAGTATTCATAAAGGATTTGCAGAGGTAGGGTCCAGTTTAATGCTGATTTCTGGCTTGGAGCTCTGCTTGCAAGAGGAGAAATTATTTTATACTTTAGTCTCTTCTGCCATTGTCAAGTTACTGAAAAGAATGCAGAGTGGTGACTTGCAGAGGGAGGAAAAATATCTTTAAAGGCAGCAGCTGGTGCTGGGGCTCTCCAGGTCTCCCTTCACTGGGAGAGACACACAGGGAAGAGTCACTCCAAACCCCCATCCTGGAGTGCTCAGGGCACTGTCCCAGGCAGTGACCCTGCTGTGGCTGCTGCTGAGGGGAGCAGAGAGAGGGGGAAACAAAGGGATCTGGGATCTCAACCACCAGTGTGAGCAGGTCTGCAGCTCTTCCTCCTTTGGTTGCATCTTTAAGGAGCTTTCTACAGCGAGAAGCTGCCTGGCCCAGGGACGAGGGGACGGGTGGTTGTCCTCAACACCAACCTCTACTATGACCAGAATGATGAGACAGCTGCAGAGGAGGACCCTGGGGGACAGTTCCAGTGGCTGGAAGAAACACTGACCAACGCCTCCAGAGAAAATGAAATGGTATTAAAAACACTGAATCAACAGCCTGGGCTTCTCCCCAGCCTGGAAGCTCCTCCTGCTCTGCTCCTCTGGCTGCTGGTGTGGGCTCTGTGCTCAGGGCAGCTCTGTTTCTGCAGGTTTACATTGTGGGCCATGTCCCTCCTGGCTTCTTTGAGAAGACACGGGGCAAGCCCTGGTTCAGGAGGGGCTTCAACCAGCGCTACCTGGGCATTGTGCAGAGGCACCACAGGGTGATTGCTGCCCAGTTCTTTGGGCACCATCACACTGACAGCTTTAGGATGTTCTACAGCCACACAGGTACCTGCTCTGGCCACCCAAGGGCTTGTGTGACAGCTCTGACACTCTCAGTCACTGTCCATGAGAGTTTTTAGTGGCTGTTGGCTGAGAAGCCAGGAAAAACATCTGACATGCTTGGGGCAACAAGAGGCAGCAGTGTTCTCATCTCTACCCCCGTCCCTCCTATTCACCCTTGGATATTGTTGTTTCCCCTCAGTGCCTGGCAGCTTCTTGCCTGTTCTCTCCTGAGGGCTTTGGGCATTGCTGAGGGAGCAGTGCTGAATCTCTGTGTGTGTGTGGGGTGCTGTGGGTGAACACCTTTGCTGAGTGTGGTTCCCTGGCCACCCTCACTGCACTGGAGAGCCCATTGCTGGCTGCAGCAGCCCTGTGCTCAGTCCCCAGTGTTGTTCCATGTGTGTGGGGTGGTACAGGGAGTGGGGACAAAGGTGCTGTCAGCAGTGCAATCTGTGATGGGGACAGGGTGTGGGACAAGCCATGGTCTCCATCACAGCTTGCTTTGCATTTCTGTGAAGGTGCTCCAATCAATGTCATGTTCCTGGCCCCTGGAGTGACTCCCTGGAAAACAACTTTACCTGGAGTGAGCAATGGAGCCAACAACCCTGCCATTCGTGTGGTTGACTATGATCAGGACACCCTGCAGGTCCTGGTAAGGGACCCTGTGTGCAGCACACTGCAGCTCTGGGACAGCTGTAATTCCCCCTCTAGTCAGAACAGGCTTTTCAGGATTTCTCAGTGCACAGAGGCTGAGTGGCTGTGTGGGACAGGACTCTGACCCAGGACACTTCAGCCTCATGTCTGGCACAAAGATTTAGTTGGAGCATCAGTGAGTCAAAGCATGGCCCTGGCAGCCAGTGCATCCTGCTGGGATGAGTTCCCTGGGCAGGGTCAGTTTTTGTGGTGTTGTTCATGTCCTTAATGAGTTTCATTTGACACTTGCTTTGCTCCTCAGATAATATGGATCACAGAACTACTCTTTGAGTAACAACAGCCTTGTCAGACCTCCTCCAAAACATTTAAACCATCTGAAAAATTATTTGTGTCCCTCTGAACTGAGCTGAATTGTAGGGGCAGCTTCTGTTTCCTGTCTCTTGTTTGCCCAGAGGTGGAGGACAGGTGTTTGTGCCCTCCTTTGTGCTGGATGAAGCTGTCTATAGCTGCTCTGTTTATGTGTTTATAGCATAGAAGTGAATGCTACCATATGCTGTGCAAGGCTGGGGAGTCAGTGAAGCAGAGAGAAAAAGGGCAAGAGACTGAGAACAGCTGTGAAAAACTTGATTCTTGTTTGCTCACAGTTGAGAAGATAACACTGCTCAGTAACACTCTGTATCTCTTGCTTCTGCTGCTGGGCAGTGCTGATAGCAACTGACAGATGTCTGAACAGGCCAGGCTCAGAGCTTCTGGTGTTTGGAGGTCAAAGCCAAGCAGAGCAAAGCCACCCTGTTTCTTTTATCCCTTAGGGAACAGGCTCTGCTTGGGGTGGTTCTGGAGGGTCCCCAGGTGCCCCTCTGGGTAGGAAGCCCCATCCAGGGCAGCTGGGCCCTTGGGTGGGGGCCAAGCCTGACCCAGTGTCTCACCCAGGGCCAATCTTGTCCTGGTGTCTTCCCAGTTCTGTTTTTCTCTCCCTCAGGATATGGTGACTTACTACTTGAACCTTACCCGTGCCAACACGATGGGCTCAGCAGAGTGGGAGGAGGAGTACAGGCTGACAGAAACCTTCCAGGTCCCCGATGGCTCTGCAGGCTCCATGCAGAGAGTGCTGGAGAGGATCTCCAGGGACCCCCAGCACCTGCAGCTGTACTATGAGCTGAACTCTGCCAGGTATGACCTGGAGCTGTGCCAGCAGGAATGCCGTGTGGATCACCTGTGTGCCATCAGGGAAATCGATTTTACAAAGTATGAGGAGTGTGTGAAAACCAACAGCTCTGCCTCTGCTGCCAGCAGTGCTTGGCTTTTGGTTTTCTGCATTTTCTTAGGATTTCTCCATCCTCAGCAAGTGCTGTGATGGCAAGAGCAAGAGAAAAGAAGGAAGGCACAAGATCACATTACACTGGATGGGAATTGCTGGTTTTTTTGGCATTGAGAACTTGCTTGGAAAGCAGGACAAAATTGTGAATGTTTGCTAAAAGCCCTCTGATGCTGATTTGAAATTTTCTAGAGCTGTGTGAAGAGCAATGTTTTTGAGAGCCTTATTGTGCAACAAGGAGTGTCTCCCCTCTGCCAGGACTGCTGGGGCAGCCTCACAGATCAGATGAAGCCCAGGCCTCCCTGTGGACACGAACTGGCAGTGGGTGAGGGCAGGGAGCTGCCACGTGTCCCAGAGGCTGCTGCCAGCATTCCTCATTGTGGCTCACACTTCTGGAAGTCACAGCTGCTGACTCGGGAAGTGTGACTGAGGCTGTTGAGCAGAGCGAGGTGGGCTGGGGGGACAGCCCAGGGCAGGCTGCAGATCAGTGACAGGGGATGGTGCCTGAGGCTGCCCAAGGCCTCGCTCTGTCAGAGGAGCAGCTGAGCTGGGCTCTGCAGTACAACTTACAAGGAGGATTATGCCACAACCAGATCAAACACAACTTGGACAACAAAAAGCAGCCACTGTTCAAAATCCACTGCCAAGTGTCACCTGTGTAGCAAAGTGCAGCAGAGGCAGCACAGCAGCTCACAAGCAAAGCAGCTGGAGCAGCTTTGGGAGCTGCAGCCCAAGGCCAAGGCCTGCAGGGACAAGGGCACTTTGCCATGGCAGGATCCTCCCCTGAGCCACAGCACCACAGGCAGGCTCAGCTGTCCCAGGGCACACTGCAACGAACACACTACACTCTCCAACCTGGCAAAATCTGCATTTAATTTACAACATAGTAAAGGTTACAGGTAAAAAGCTCAACAGAAGTGTGAAAAGGCCTATTACATATTACACAAGTGTACAAATGTCTGTACAAAGCCCCTCGATGTTCCTGTCCCCTCGTGGCCAGCTGTGGCCCCTAAGCTCTGAAATAATAAGAGCTGGTTCAGAGTCTGAGAGGAGAAGAGCTTTAAAAAACGAGCAGTGAAGTTTTCCTTGTCAAGAAAAATCTTGCAAAAAAAAAAATCCTAAAACCCCCCAACCCACCCCTCTTCCCCCAAAATAAAACAAAAAAAAAAACCCAAAATAAAAAGAAGGAAACCTGCTCAACTTTTTTTTTGTCCTGACTAGTCTTACTCTAAAGAGTTGCCTTCAGAAAGCAACTGGCTGGGAAATGAAAATCTTAGAGGCCAGACTAAAGAGGAAGATTCTGAGTTATTGTGGGAGCACTGGGAAGCAGAACAAATGCCCAACAGCTGAACCATCAATGGCAACTTAAACACAGAGCAGCACAGCTGGATCATGGAGCAGGTGTGAATCCACACAAGGAACAGTCTGGGCTGATGTGATGGAGTGGGGAGGGAACAGAGCAGGCTCTAAAGCCTGGCTCTGAGCTGGGCAGCTGCCTGCTGGCACCTCAGGGACATGATAGAAGCAATCACTGCAGAGCAGAACTCAGATTGTGGGGCATCTGCCTGAAATGGGTCTGGTGCATCCAGCATCCCATCTCCCTGGGACACAGCACTGAGCCAGCACCATCCCTGGGACACAGCCCTGCCCCAACAACCTGGCACCACCTCCCAGGTACTGCAGTCCTGCACACACTGAGCCAGGTACATGCTCTCATTTCAGTGCACATTTCCTGGATCCCCCCAAACAGCAAAGGAATGTGACTTGGAGCTGAACTGCATTAGAGTGTGTACAAAAATCCAGAATAAACGTAAGAATAATAAAGCTCTGGCCTTACCTTGCATAAAGTACAGCCACAATATGTCTGAGTATGTGAGTAATTTTCAAATCTAAACCCAAGGAACTAAAGGGCTTGAGCAACAACCCAAGTCCACTGAGAATTCCTATTCTGGCTCTCAGCAGCACTCAATTCTCACCTGCAGCTCCCAGCAGCTAAAATATTAGTGTGTGGGGAACACACCAGTGCTCCCAGCTTTCTGTCTTGATGAACCTCATATACTCTAAACTTAAAAGTTCCATTTGCAAGTAAAAATGAAACTATTTAAGTTACAGGGGCCACCAAGTCTAAAAGAAACTCCACTGTGTTAACTTCACCCTGAGCTACCCAGGGGAGGCACCATGGCACAGTGCCTGATCCTGCTGGATGTTTGCACCCTGTATCCATCCCCCAGACCCATCCTGCAGCACTGGAACAAAGCTGAGGAACCCAGCTGCTTCCCTGCTTATCCATCTCAGCTCACAGCTCTTGGGGTGATCTAGTGTTTTATGTCGAAATCAAAACAAGCTGTAGCCAAACTAAAAATAATCATAATAATAATAAAAAAGACAATGCCCCACACTGGTGGGGTTTTGAAAATATAAAAAATAAAAGCTGACCTATATTCTGCAAGTTTTACAACTCCTTCCAATGGGATTCTGCGAGGCTTGGCCCCACAAACATTTCCTCTTGACAGAGCTGCCCTGCTGTGAGAGCTGCCCTGCTGTGAGAATGTCCAGCAGGAACAGTGTCAGCACAGCGAGCCCAGCACTGAAATACACGGACCTGCAGGGTCATGCCAGAAGTGACAATGAAATTGTGTGACTGCCCCTTCGACTTGTGGATCCAAACTCAGCACAAACACCTCTGGGACAGTGTGGCTAAGAAAAGGCTGTAGGGGTTTTGGTTCAAAAGGAAACGGGAGCTGTATATTTTTTTTTTTTTATAACAGACATATAAAAACATTTGAAGACAGATCTTTAAAGGATATTTCACTCCTCCAATCTTGGTATTACATCTGTTAGGACACTGAAAGTTTAAAAAGACGATACCGCACATGAAAAGTTTCTGGAGTTGTGACTCCTGCCCTCCCTCAGCCCAGCTCAGATCAGCAGGGACGGGGTCGGCTTCTTGCCCGGCCAGGCCTCCTTGGCGTATTTCTTCTTCTTGGGTTCATTCACAGCTTCGGGGTTGAAGACGGCGGGGTTGGGAGCTGGGTTCATGTTCACTGTGGAGGGCACAACTGGAGTCAAGTCCACATCGGGGGCGAGGTTGGGGTAGGGCATGGGCAGCCCCCCGATGAGCGCGGTGCCGTGCACGCTGTGGGGCT